TCCCAGCTACTAGAGAGGCTGAGGCAGAAGGATCGCTTGAGCCCAGGAGTTTGAGGTTGCTGTGAGCTAGGCTGACATCACAGCACTCTAGCCTGGGCAAGAGTGAGATAGTCTCAAAAAAAAAAAAAAAAGTTCACTTTATATTCTAGATTAAAACTGAACCTTTCTTCTGTTTGCAGCCCAAATTTGGTTTTGCACATTCTACCTAAAAATATTAGCTAAGATACTTAGCACCTCTGTGGGGTTGCATGCTCAGGCTCTTGGCTTCACAGTGCTTGTTATATAATAGGTCATCAATGCATAATTTTGGAAGGAATTAATTAGTACAAAGATGATTAATATGCCCATCTTCTAAGACACTTAGTTTCGACAATTTTTTGCATGTAAATAATGGTGACATAGGACAGAATATAGAAAGAGCCATATGAGAAGAGTGGTAGTTTTTGTTTGGTAAGTGGAAATGCATTATTGCAAGGAGTAAGGCAATATGAAGGTCTTTGTGGAGGACAGAATCCTGACGTAAAGTAGGCCTGTCTGGTCATCCACTCCTGCAAAAGAGACTACAGAACCTGATTTGGCTTGTGAAACTCAATGATGACTTGGCTAATCTTGACAGGGAGAATATGCAACCTATTGATTCATTATGTGTTTTTAATGATATCCTTAAACATCCCCAGATCTACAAGTATTTAGAAAAAAATCTCAAAATGCTTTATAAATAAGATGTTACTATTAGTAAGACTAGAAGTCATATTTATAGGAAGAAAGTAAGGTTTGAAACAGAATCTTAGTTGTGTTGGCCTCTGCTTCAACATGGTCTCTACTGCCATTTTCCTTTTCACCAGCCTCTCCAAGGACTCATAATGAATATTTATGGGCACCATCTTTCACATGCATTTAAGCCCACACAGTTGATAAAAGGAAGCAGAATGGGTTAGAGTTCAAGCTCTGAATCCAAGCATCTTTAGTTTGAAATCCTGCTCTACCACCTTAGACAATTAACTCACTGGTTTGCAAACATATACAATGGAGTTGACAAAACTAATCATAAATGGGTTGTTGTAAGATTTAAACAAGTGTGTGTGTGTGTGTGTGTGTGTGTATAAAACATACATATAAACAATGCTTGGAAGATAGTAAGAGCTCATCAGTAAAGGTCAGCGCTGATCATTATGTGCCAGGATAGACATGAACGCAAAGAGTGAAAATCAAAGTTGTAGTTTCTTTACTCATGTAGTGCTTGTCATTTGTCTGTTCCTCTTTAATGTGTAATCTATTCTATGCCTTCCTCTGCTTTGTTCTACAAAGGAGTCAGACTCCTAAAAGCCACATTTTCCAGGCTCCTTTGCCAATTGGTTTTCTGCAAGATTTGGCCAGCAGAAGGTTCAGATAAGAGATTGAGGTTGGGAGGCCTTTCTTCACTTGGGTAATGTTTAAAGAAAGCCAGAGCCAGACAGTAGTTACAGTGGTAAAACCTGAATTTATTCAGCAACTATTGCAATAGGGGAAAAGAGACCTCAGTACAGAACCGGGCTCAATTCTGAATCTAGCATGAGTAAGTGGGGATTTATAGCCAAGGAGCAGGTTAAGAGTTAGGAGGTGGAAAACTACCAAGAAAACATGAGTAATGAAAGGGAGATCCAGGTTACACAGACGTTAACAGGATTCTTGCTGAAGGCAGGCCAGGGTAATCAGCTATCCAGGGGGAGGGATGAAGACATTGGTCAGATATGAAGGGTGATCAGAGATTGAGGTGGAGGGGGGAGGTCTCTCTAAACTCACTCAGCAAGAGTGCTACAATGGGGTGATACAGCCCCTACGAGGACAGATGCCAAGGCGAAGACCTAGGGGGCTTAGAGGAGCATAACTGAAGTTTAGTGAAGGAGAAGAACTTCTTTGGTGGCATCCGCAGCAGAAGCTGTCTCTTCTCCACTTCCCCTCTCTCTCCAAACAGAGCCCCTCTCCAGGCTCACAGGCTGCACTTAGAAGCCCCAGTTCCCAGGCTTCCTGCAGGCTTTCTGCTTAAGGAGTAAGGTCAATACAGAATACAATAGAATGAGAAGAAAAGGCAGATTTCTGATGATGGATGTTATTTAATCCTGGATTTAACTGTGCCTGAAGATTATATATGACCAGATTTTTAAATATATGAATGTAAAAATACCCCCTTTTGCTTAAGCTGCTTTCACTTGCCACTGTACAAGTGCTAATGGCATGTCTACTAATCCCTGAGAACAGTTTGAGTTAATATCACATTATGAAGCAGTTTGTATTCTCATTGAGTATTTGTCTCTGGAATTCATATAACTAGTATTTATTGTCCTGCCAGGATTATGAGTAAGAAGATGAGCAAGATAAATATGGCCCTTCTCTTTGATAGCACAATAATAACTAATTAAATTTTTTCAACAATGTTAACTTTTACTATACTTATTCCAAAATGTGGTTTTTCTCTGGAGATCTGAGCATCTTCTCTTTGTTGATGTATATCTTAAAACCAAAGGACATCTCATCCATTTTAGTACAAGGATATAAACTGAAATGCAAAGCAGAAACTTTAGGAGGAAGGTTCATTTATTTTTGATAAAGTAAGTCCCAAGCCTCCAGTTGTTGTTTATGAAACCTTCCCAAGGCAGGAGGATTTTTCAGTGCAATGAAATTAACTGTGTCACTACTACAGGACAATCACTCATTCTGCTACGTGCTTCTGTGGCTTTCCTCTTCTGTATTTGCCCGTGATGATGTAATTTGTCTTCTGATAATTGATGGGCCTCCTCTCCCTTTCAATCACTACCATAAGCCGCTGAAACTTGCTCAAGATATGTGCAAAGTTCATGTGCTTTGGGGATTTTTTTTTAAATCTTTCATGGTTGATAGGAGTAAATTTATAATCACGATGCAAATGTGTGTGTGTTGGTGTGCACCTGTGTTGTGAATGTGTGTGCCTGCTTTGTCCGTAAGATATATGCAGTGGCCTTTTAATATTATAATATATGGTCAGACTGTAGTTGCTAGGGAAACCAATAACTGAATTTCCTCATCTTTGAGGGTAGGGACATGCAGTGGTGGAAGCTGCAATCAGAGTAGAGAGAGCTAAGATTTAAAAATAAGGGAATTTTTCCACGTTAATGTTCAGGTTGGAGCAATCTACTCTTCCCTTGTCTCTACCAAGAATGTCCGTCAGAGCCAGGCTGGAGGCATACTAGTATTCCTCTGATTATACTTTAGACTCAGGTTATTGTGGATACTGAATGAATGAGATTTTTGGAATTCTTGATTATATTTTGTATATAATTTTTTATATAGTATAAAATCATGCTTTTAGTAATGGGATACATTTAGATCTAGATTAGTGTCCACATAAGACAATGTTGCTATTAAGACAGCAAATTTGTGCTTTCCTTTGGAATGTGATTCCTTGGGATTTTCTTTTCATTCTTTGAGCACAAGCTGATCACTCAACTGAGGCACATTCAATACATTCTCTGATTAGAAAAGACTATATTCTAGGACCACCTATGTCTACTGGAAAGTCTCTTTGTAGCTTCTTGTGCAGCACTAATAGTTTTGCGTTGCTAAGGTATGGAAAATGTACCCAATGAGAAGCTCATGTATCTGTGTTTATTCTATTCATACCACATGTCAGGGGAATGGGAGAGAATTGAGATATATGGAGAGTGGCATCTTTGTACTGATTGTTTAGTGAGAGTACTCTGTGCCCAGCAGTATGGAGATTGATAGGGAATGATTCCTGCCCTCAAGAACCTGCTTAGCCACAAGAGGAGAAAATACATGTTGTGAATGCTCATTGAGTGGGGAAAGCACAGGAGCAAGGTCAACAAACACAGCCAAACATCAAAGGAAGACGTGAGCCCAGTGGGATGAGCAGATAAGGAGGTTGAAGGGGAAGAAAAACTTGAGATGGGACCCCAAAAGGAGCGCAGACTTAGAGAAAGAGGGAAGCCTATGTTTAGTGTCAGTAAAGATCACAACTTATAAATAAGCTACATGTATTCTTTGGAATGTCTCAAATATTATAATAAAATAGAGACAAGCTGAAGTGAATGGTGTGAGCAAAGGTAGAGGTGGGACATGATCTAGTGGTTCAGAGACATTGACTAAATTGGTTACACTGGGGAGCAGAGGGTTCTGATAAATATTTTCTGGGAGTGAAGGTACTCAGGGAGTGGTGAGCACTGTGAATGATAGGTTACAAAATCTGGGCTTTTGTAAACAGCAGATGACATTGATGGCAACATGCCTTAAACTCTAATAATATGGGGTCAAAGTGAAGACCCTATAATGGTGATAAACAGTAAATAGTCACTCACTTCTTGGTGAGAAGTAGCCAGTCAGTAGATACAAATGGAATCTGGTTGCAAATAAAACCAATGTGAGACAAGCACAAAAGACCCTGTGGGATTGTGGCTGACAATGCTTGTTTTGTGGTGGTGAGAACTTGGTCTTGTTTAAGTCATCCATAGCTCTTTCCTTCAACCATCATCTCTGGGTTACTAACATGTCTGGCCTTTTCAAATGGATATTAGTTGAAAAGAAGAGGGTTTAAAACCTGGCTCTTTTTTTTTTTTGCTTATAAAATTGCATAAAGTATGTAAATATGTCAGGGGTTCTTTTTTTTTTTTCTCCCAACATGGAGCTTTGAGTGAATTACAGACTTATCCATCTTGAGAAACTGGCCCACCTTGATGTCACAGAGATGATGACATGGTCTCCTCAACTGCTCAATTCTCATCAGTGAAATTATGAGGATGGATGTGTCAACTCTGAGAGTTTTTTTTTTTTTTAAGAAACAAAATGAGTAATCCATATCTCAAAATTAATGCATACCAATTGTGTCTGATGGAGGGCAGTCAGAAAGTGAGATATACCCTCGGCACAAGTATAGAATATCATAGAGGTTTTGCTTCTGTGTGTATATGTTTTAAAAATCAAGTACATTGTAAAAATAGACAGTCATCTTTCTTTTTTCTCTCCTATAGGACCTTCTTAAGAAATGCTACTCTGCCAAGGCATCTTACCTGTTCCAGCAGGATAAATTCTATGATGTCAGCTATGACACAGGTGACAAGTCTATCCAATGTAGCAGGAGACCAGATGCTTTCAAGTTCTGGATGACCTGGAAGGCTCTGGGTACTTTAGGCCTTGAAGAAAGAGTTAATCGTGCTCTTGCCTTATCTAGGTACTTGCCTCTGTGTATGTGTGTCTGTATATGTCTATAATAGAAAGATTCAATGAATGTAACATTTGCAAGGTCTGTACCTGTTCTTTTAGTTGTGCATTCCTTCTTTCAGCCAATAAACATTATCTCAGTACCTACTATCTGTTAGGAATTGTGAACAGAGTAGTCCTACCACCTGCCTTCCATGATCCTACCCTCCTGAGAGAACCATTTAGGTGAGAAAGCAGATAAAATATAAGTGACCTTCGTTTTTTGGTAAGGGGGGGTATGTTGTGCTCCAAGACCACTCATGGGGGCTCCCCTGTGTGTTCTGGGGGTACACTGGCAGAGCCTTCTTGCAGGGAATGACATTCAACTGAGACCTAGTAAAGAGAAGGGGAGAAGAAGGATCCAGGAAGAGAGAGTACCAGGTCCAAATCTCTGGATGTGAGGCAATCCCACACTCTGGAAGTCTGACTTTAGAGACCTGAAAAGCAGATCTGTAAGAATATGGGGATAGCATAAAGTCTTAATGGGAAAGGTAATGTGGAAATAGCATACTTGCTTACCTTGTAGTGACATTAGAAACAAAGCTGTTGTCACCACTTTCAAAGACATTAGAGAAGCTCTTGAAATACAGGTGCCAGACGTGTGCCACCTGAACAGGACGGAACTGATAAACTTAGATCTGTGGGTGCAAATGGACAGGCACCCCCCACAGCCAAATTTACTTTTCAGTGTGTTTGTTGGGCCTGTACTGCACAGGGTTAACTTTCATGGTGTTAAAAATTCAAACATTTAAACATGTAAAATACTTTTAAAAATAGGAAGGTTTCTCCAAAACCTAGATTTTTGGCTTTTCTCAAAAGATTGGAAGGCTCACAATCCCACATGGCAACATCAGCTGAACATGATGATGACTGGCTCTGTGGAGAAACACAGTCCTCATCACCTCCTAACTTTTCAAAAAATCTAACCTATTTGACTGTAGCACAGGGGTGCAGACAACCTGAATTCAAGACAGAGTGATACTGTTTATAAGCTACATGACCCGAGCAAGTTTTTTAACCTCTCTGCACCTCATTTTCATCCCAGTCAGATGGAGATGATAATAGCACCTATCTCAAACAGTTTTTGTCAAGATTAAAGTAATTGATATATGTTAAACACCTGGAACGATGCCTGGCATATGCTACATGCTATATGAGTCTTAGCTATTATTTCTTCTTTGGCCACTATGGGCATATCAGAGTTTGTGATTTCCGGTTTGGACTATATCTCTCCCTCCCTGTTCACATTTTATTTGCAAAACCCTAAAGGATCTCCTTAGAGATTGATAACAATTTCCTCTTTCTATACAGAGAGTGATATGAGTCCTTTGAGCAACAAGCTATCTGTAACCTAGTGTCTTAAAACAATAATTATTTATTCCCAGAGGTCTACAGATTGGCTAGCATAGTTCTACCTCATACTCTAGTGACTGGAGGGTTGGGATCTACTTTCTACATCTCTAATCTTCCTTGGACCAGCAGGCTAGCCAGCGCACATTCCTGTAATGCCCATGACAGAAGCCTAAGAAAGGAAGCCCAATTATACAAACCCACTTTAAACTCCTGATTCTATTATATCTATATCTGATTTCATTAAATTTCTATGGTCAAAGCAAATCACATGGCCAAACTCAATGTCTACAGGCAGAAAGTATCCTCTGCCCTTTTGCAGGGAGAACTACCAAGTTGCATGGTAAAGAGCTTGGAATTAGGATCTGTAAAGACAGTTTTGGCATGTTCAGAAGACTTTTAGAAGTCAGAAATTCTGGTGATTATAGTTTAAGAAGTAGTTTGAAAACTCTGTGACTATTTTATCAGGACTCTTGGTGGTAAGTGACAAAAACCTTAATTCAATGCATTATAAACACAGGTAATTTATTATATCATGTTATTTATAAGACTAGTGTAGTGATGACTTTGGGAATGGCTTGGTCTAGGTGCTTAAACAATATCGTCAATGCTCAATCTCTGTCCACCATTCAGCTTTACTTTACTTCATGTGCGGTTTGTTCCTATCTGGGAAGGTGGCTGCCAGGAGTGTCAGATTTATATTCTCCCACGTTTAAGTCAAGGTCAAAAGGAGAGAGTTCTTCTCTTTCAACAATCCCAGAAAAAGTTTATTTGTGAGTGAGGCAAGCATCCATCTCTGAATCAGTCACTGTTGCCAAGGCAATAGGATGCTCTCATTGGTCATGAGTTATATTCTCTCTCTTGGCACTGGGGACAGTATCAATCCCTCCTACAGAATATATACTGAAACTGGATGAAGAACTGGATGAAGAACTTGCCTTTAAGTAGGGTTAAAGTGCCTCTATTGCAAGTGGGAAAATAAAAACCCAGTGGTTAAAAAAAGAAACCGTCTACCATAAATTTTCATAGTTGCCCACTAAATTAAAAGTCCAGCAAGCTCTGTTCCCGTTCTTGTATTTTCCTGTGCTTCTTAAGTGTGGTAGAATCTCTGTATTATTTTTTCTAAGCTTCAAAGTAATTCAATGACAGGTGTCTTGAAATAAGGCTAGATATAAATATTTTATGGTTGTATTTATTATGAAGTTAACATTCATCTCAGGGTGGAATTTAGTTTATAGTCTAGGAATACTTTCTAATTTTTACAGAGAAATATCACAGGAGGATAAATGTTAACATTTCAATTCAATTCAACAAACACTTATTGTTTGTAAATGTTTGTCAAGTTGAATTGAATTGAATTAACATTTCCGTAAGCATCACTGCAGACTCTGTGACCTATATTTAAATATTTGAAAAATAATCCCTCTTCCTTCTTGCTGTTACTCATAATAGTATTCTTGCCTTAGCTTTCTAGACTCTTGATATCCAACAGTCTATTCCTGGGGTGGGCAAAAGTTATCCTGTTCTCCCACCCCCAAACTTAAGAAAAAGGTCAGAGTCCTTTCTGCATGTCACTTGGTATGAATGTGAAATTAAATATTTGGAGAGAGTTTTTCTAGGATTAAGAAGTATAATAAATTAGCAACAGGAGGGCTTTATTTTCATAATTTATTTCTTTTCAAATTCACTGATTGATTTGTGGTTCTGCTCTTTAGGAAAAATAGAATATTTCCTCAATTCTGGGGTCTATTCCATTTGTTGGAGCCCACACACAGTGGTGTGCTAGTAAATTGACTCTCAGGAGAGAACAAAAAAAGCTCTAGTTTGTAGTGTTTGCCCATTTCCATGGTATAAATATTCCAGTCATAGAAAATTGCAAGCTATCAACAGTTGCAATCTGCAAAATTCCTGAATATTTAACAATTGGCTTTCATTAGCTGCTAGAAGCTAATTCTAGAACACCACTGATTATGTGAGCCAGAATAATCAATTCAAACCACTGACTGGAATAGTTAAGAGACCATTTCCCATCAAACCCACTGACCCATGGCAACTTGCTTCAGAGTTTAGCAAATAAAAACAATTCTGATCCATGATCAGAAGGCTCTACCTAGCATAATTTATAAGTCATAGTAACATTGTTTAGTTTCCAAGAAGTATAATGTCCTTCAGTAGATAACAACTCTGGGAAAGTAAATCTGCACTGGATGATTGTGTTACTATTTGGGGAGCACATCTATTAGCAGGCTATTGTAGCTAAAATATCCGTTTTCCTAGGCCCTAGGTCAGGTCTCTAGAATATTGGAAAAGCTGTGCAATTCTTTTCCCTTGACTTATTACAGTAGGGACTGTAATATACACTGATTCCATAGAGAAACAATATTTCCATGTTCCTGAATCTAAATGGAAGTTAATTTTGAAATTTGTATGTTGACCATACGATTTAACAGACCAGATATTAATAGACCAGTGATCACTACCCTGATCAAATAGCAATCTCTCTCTCTTCTCCTGGGAAAGTAAAAACAGATACTTTTAAGAGGACAATGATTCTGATTTTACAGATTATCAGAAATCCAGCAAGAAGAAGAAGAAGAAAATAATGTGTAGAAGACCTCTAATGCTTTCCCTAATTTCCACCTACCCATGTCATTCCAACTGAGGAGAGAACATTTCTCTCAGGAAATATTAATGACTAAATTGCTTTTTTCTTTTTTTTTTTTTTTTAAATCAGTGACATTGAGAGCCCAAAGTAACATGTGATTATTAAGCGTAATTGAAACCCAGAGTGTTGCAGTTTAAAATCACCACTTCTGGCACAAAGCTGGTGATTGTGCATTTTTGATATCTGCCTAGGGAGGTGGAAAATGTTTTACTGTACCCAGGGTTACCTGTTGCTGAGGGCATCTTCTTGGCCTTTGTTATGGCATTCTGGTTAAATGGATATCCACTAAGGGGTAATTTTTAAAGCAGGCCTAGAAGAATCATGTGTATAATTCTTTTCAACAACAACAAACAGCTCAGGTACTCCCATTCTGCTACTTTGTTTGGTCTCCAGTGTATCATTTATCCATTCCCTTGACACACAATCTCTGCAATCTCTCAGATGGAATTCATTTCACAGACTTGCATGAATACTGAGGGATTTATTGTTATCAGTATGGAAAAGGTGAGCAGTTACACAATGGTGATTTTGTGCTAGTGTATTTCTCTAGGTGACAGGAGGGACAGAATCCAGAAGACTATGGAATAGTCAACATTTTAATTTTTTTCTTTAGATTGGTAATTTTTTTAAAAAAAAAAGATCATAATTGCAGTGGACTAGAGCACATGAGTGTCTGTGATGAACTACGCAAGCCATGTGATACCTTCTGATATATGCAGAGCACACAGAAAGCAGATGGAAAAATCTCAGGAGTTCTGGGAAGCTCAGTGCATCAGAAGAAATTTCAAATGAGAACATGAGACTGGGAAGGAAACTTGGTCCTGAGTGGTCCAGGGAGACTCTAAGTGGCTGATGAAGTAGAAAAAAGAACTGGAAAGGCTAATATCAGAAAAAAAACAAGATCTTGCAAAAAGACAAGTGAAATCCAGAAAACTGAACAGACTTACATAACAAAT